CATATGGCCTGGTCTGCTCTTGAGCTTTGAAAGCAGTGCATGTTTGTCTCCATCTAGTGACAAATCAGACCACACAGTGATTGGCCCTGCAGCTGGAGATCACTCAGTCATAAAGCACAGATGATCACCCTCCTGCCGCACACTCAGCAATCTCCTCTCACACGCCCAGAACACAAGTGGGCATCCACTCAATAACCTCCAGCCCAATCAGGTACTGCTCTGATTATACTCTGCCACTCACCCAGCGTTAGCTAATAATAACGACACGCATGGACGTGTTTTGCATATTCTCTCCTTGGCTGGGGGAGGCAGGCAGGTGTCGGGGGTTCCAGCAGCAGGGATGATTGATAGGCTCTGGATAAGATTTTTAATGAGCTGTGTTGTGTATAATCCCACGTTCCCAGGAGAGAAGGAGGGAGAATGAACAGATTCGGTGCTCGCGTCCTCCACGCCTCCAAGGACACTGCTCTCACATCTCACCTTTTAATTAGTGTAATTGGCGTGAGAGGATGAGTAATACAAACTCTGTACAGTTCAATACACACTGCACAAAACGACCTGCCTTTCAGTGCCTCCGTTCAGAAATTCAGAAATTCAAAGGTTCAGCATCCAAAGTCCCTCATAGACAGCAGTGGATATCTCATGTGTGGCTTTATTCTTTTTGTGGGTTTCTGATTTTGACTCAATGACTGGTTTTATGGGAAGGTTTTGGAGTAGGGCACTATTTAGAATAGAATAAAGCTCAATACAATAGAATAAAATTTAATAGAATAGAATAAAACCAAACAGAATTTAATAGAATAGAAGGGAATTTGTTTGAATAGAATTTAATAGAATAGAACAGAACTATTTTGATGCACTCCAGGTTATGCCGGCAGGTTGAATCTAAGATTAAGAATGTTTTTCTTGTGGTATTGTTTGAAAATCTTGGTGTGTTGGGATGTGTATGAGTGTGTGTGTGTGGTATATAAACTGAGGTCACCAGTGAATTGAGCTGTTGGGGGCTATTCAATTCATTGTTTTGTCTGTTGTTTGCCATTCTGTTTTTCTCCACTTTTTTGTTGTAACTGTTTGGTTCCTCAAATAAAAATGAAAAAAGAATAGAACAGAACAGAATTTAATAGAACAGTATAGAATTTAATGGAATAGAAGAGAGTTTAATAGAATAGAACAGAACAGAAGGGAATTTAGTAGAATAGAATAGAACAGATAATGAATAAATTACCAAGTCTGATATTTTTGTCTAATTTCACCAGTTTTAGTTGGTTCTCTTTATCTACTATTAGGACTGATAATGTTTTAGGTCAAATTTCTGCAGAAATATAGAAAATCATAAACTTTCAAGCCCCAATATATATATATATATATATATATAGAGAGAGAGAGAGAGAGAGATTAATGTAGTGTCTAAATATTGTTATTATTAAATACTGTTCAATAATGTTGTAAGCATAAATCTCGACACCTTCAGTGTGATGCTTTGGGAAACTCTGGCTGAGCTCTGCTCTGTAATCTAAATCTAATACGTCTTTTAATAACATTTATTGATTTTCAACCTTGATCAAAAAGTTCATAGTGCAGTTCCTGCAGTCTGCGTGTGACACATATCAGGTAAACTGTGCACTTATACCATTCACTGAGGACCAAACAGGACCACTGAGGTCAGCTGACTGTGTTAATGCTGCAGAATATGAATACAACACATCCTGTATTGATCGCAGTGGTGTGATGAAATACCGATTGAAGACAGTGACTGCTTTGAAACCAGTCAATCCTCCAGAGCCTGAAAGCTGAAACTCACACTGTGTTACAGTCAGAGGAGTTTACTATGCAACAAATTGTGTTTTCCCTGTAAGGTAAATGGCATTAAAGCTCGAGCTTGTTTGAGAAAATTGCTTTCTCGAACAGCGCTGGCAGACCATGAAATACACGTCCACAGACTAGATTGTACATTTAGACTTTATTTCAGACCTCAATTATTTTCCTGTGACCTAGGCTTTTTGGTAATTTGAAATATTGAAAACTTTTAATGAACTCAGTGCTGCTCCAAAGAGCCTATCGGAGAATTTTCAAGAAATTAGAAAAAGCAAACAAAGAACGTACTGGGAGTAAATGACTTTGAATATGTTTGAATATGATTATTTTCTGTCTTTTTTGGTTTGATCAAGTTAATGAGATTGTTTCTTGTGTTGTCAAATAAATGAAATAAATGTGAACCACACTGGCTGATTGGCAGCACAAGTTTTGAAAAGCTGGGCTAACAAATTAATATTTAATGTTATAATGTAACACATTTGCGAAATCATGTACCAGCCTCAATATGATTATACAGAATTGATCTGAATCCACTGTGAAATCGTGTGACCGCTAGAGGGCGACACTGGAATGAATTAGTTTAAAAGGATCTCGTGGACCTGCTGAGAGGAGCTGGATGATGATCACACGCAGCCTATTGAAGCTGTTTGTTCCAGAAATGCACTGTGTTCCATTTATTTCTGACAAAGATCATCTTTTTATTCCTGACAATAAAATCATCACTTTTGTTTCAGTCATGATGGAAGCAGTACTATCAGTCTTAAAAAAGATGGTTCTTTGAGAGTTCTTTAGTGAAAACCATGGTTCTATTTAGAACCATGAGTTCTATATGGAATTATTTCATGCTTAGATGGTTCTTTGCATGGTGAAATGGTTCTTCAGATAGATTAAGAATATTGTACATGGTTCTATATAGAAACTTTTTGAAAATGGTTTTAGCACCAAAAAGGGTATCATAACAATAGCAGAACCCTTTTCGGCACTATGTAGAACCACTTTCAAAAAGGTTCTATACAAAATACCAGGTACAGCACATTCTCCATCAATCTGAAGAACCATTTCACCAAGCAAAGAACCATTGAAGCATAAAATGATTCCATATAGAACTCATGGTTCTAAATGGGACTATTGCCTTTACAAAATAACCCTTAAAGAACCGTCTTTTACCAAGAACAATCTGAGTATAAATAGAAAAGTTATCAGGTTGAAGAATGAGACCTGTAAGAGTCAGAGTTCCCTACAGAACCTCAGTGAAACTGCCGGTCAGCAGAGCCACTGAAGTTTGTTAGGTGCTGTTTTTCTCTTTTTTGTGATTCTTTTGGTCTGAAATAAAAAGCCAACTCAAAAGTGAGAAGCATGAGCAACAGCAGATCAGTCCAGGCAGCAAACCAACAGAAGAGAATTGAGGACAAAAAACAAATTACAAACTAAACATGAAGCACTAAAACAGAACTGAGGGAAGAGTAGACTCCTTCTCTCACAGATATGCAGAACGCTTAAAGCCCCTAAGGTGATACTGTGATTATTTTACAATAAGACATTTCCAAACTAATATATTAAGTTTCTTGTGGCCTCAATATGTTAATTTGTGGTCTTAATAGATTAATTTGTGGCTTTAATACATTAATTTGTTAACATGCAGCTTCAATATATTAATTCGTGACCATGAGAAACTTGTGGCCACAAGAAACCTTTGGCCTTAATATATTAATTTGTGGCCTTAATATATTAATTAGTAGCCTTAATACATTAATTTGTCAACATGCAACTTCAGTATATTAATTTGTGGCCATGAGAAACTTGTGGCCTTAACATATTAATTTGTGGCCATAATATATTAATTTGTGGCCATAATATATTTGTGGCCACGAGAAACTCGTGGCCTTACTATATAAATTTGTGGCCATAATATATTACGTTTCTCGTGGCCTCAGTATATTAACATGCAGCCTCAATATATTAATTTGTGGCCATGAGAATCTTCCTACAGCAGTTAGAAATCAGTGTTTTTGCTGTCCCGTCCCACAAAAACTACACTTTACCTTGAAATGTATTGAGACACGTCAGAAATCGTGTTATTTTTGCACTAATGTGTGAATCCATTTACCAGCTCATGCTTGAAACATGTTTTTCATGAGTCATCCGTTATAGGTCAAGCTGTTACCTGAACACACTCACCCCAAGAATCATCTAGAATATTTCACAGGTCACATGTCCAGCAGGAAGTTGCTTTATCCAAATTTCCTGAAAATCATGGAAAAAAGATTTTTTTTAATCACAAATTAAATAATACAAAAATACAGGGACACAAGCAAGAGAAGGAAAAAAGGGAGAAAAATATTAAATAACAGCACTACAATCTGTTCAATAAGAAAAAAGACTTTATTGCAGAGAACATCAGGAGGAGAATCACACAGCAATCATCTATGATGAACCATCTAAAGTTCAGTTCAGTGGAGGTAATTCTGGCTTTGTGAGAAGAAATTCTCCCAAACGTTTTCTTCTCTTTCACGAATATTGTGATTATTGAGTGATGAGGTCACTTTGAAAGTTCAAAAGTTGCTCAAATTATAGATATAAAGTAAACAATTAATGTACAACAAATTACATTTTGGGGAAATCAGTACAACATCCTTAATGCCCTCATGCCTTTAGCATCAATATTGATTAATACACTGTGGGGTATTTGCTACATCTGAGCTAAAAAAATCAATTTAATTTACTTTTCAGCAAAGAAACCTTGAAGAAAAATTAGATATTGTTCCTAAGATGAGTTCACAGATTTTTTTTGAATGGTGAAATGCATGTTTTATTAAATTCAGCGTTGTTGAATTATAATTAATATAATTAATATTATATAATATTAATATTATAAACCCTAATTGTGGGATCAGCCATTTAAGTAGAAGCAAAACAAAGTTTGAAAATTCTCAAAAGTCTAAAACAAGTACATGAGGGAACAAAAGATGAGCGCTGTTGATCAATACATTTACATATTTCATTTTTTTTTCTTATTTTTTTAATTTCTTTCTGCCGTCGTACTGTTTTTTTAATCATATAATTCGTGATTTTGAGGACTAAAAAAAAGCACACGAGGAAACATAAGTAACTAAGCTACTACCCACCTCTATCTATTAGCCAATCACAGCTGAGTGGGCGGGGCTTCGTCTGAATACGGGTGGGGAACACACTAGCGCGTGAGAGCTGCAGGTTTACACGCTTTACTTTGTGCGCCGTGTTTTACAAACGCGCGAGGCGGCGGAGTGAATTTGAGTGTTTTCTGCTAACGCGGCTCTCCTCACACAGACGGGTTTATGAAGAGGACAACTTCATCCTGAGACAAGAACCTCTGTGTTTAGGTGAAACGTAAGTTCATTTTGGTTTACTTTGTTCTGTCGTCTTGCTGTCATCCAGTGGGCTGTGTGAAGTGTAAAGGGGGTCGTGTCGCTGTACGGAACAGCAGAGATTCAGAAGTAGTGGGCACTGATGACGCTGATCAGTGATTCACAGTAAATGTGTGAATCTGACAAATAACTGAGAGCAAACCTGTGAGAAGACCTTTTAATATTATCACTGACTGAGCAGAGAGCCTGAGGCTGAACTCACTGATGGCTCAGGACTGCATGCTTTTCTTTTCTGTTCTTCTTCACTTGTTGACTTTAAATTAAAGTTCCCCCAGTTTTAGGAAGTTTAGAGTGAAGTTACGAAATAGAGGCAAACACTGTCACCACACAACAGGAGTGTTGGCTTCAAGTCCTGAACCCCATGCTTTGGACACTTGCACAACATTGGACGTTCAGAGTCTATTGTATCTGAGGCTTGGGAGTTTGTGAGACTGTACTGAGGCTGTATTGTTATGTTGAGAGTCTGTTCTCAGTATAACACTGCACTGTGCAGAGTGTAGAGTTGGGCAAAAATGAAAAAGTAGTGATGGCTAAATACTGAATACACTGTCCTAAATGTGATCAGTAACATATTACATTACAATAACATTACAATAGTTAGAAATACTATTGCAACGTATTACATTACAATAGTAATGTAATAATAGTAAAAAGTTATGTACATATAGAATACATTTACATAGTGCTAAGGCACATGGCAAAAACCTACTCAGTTCTCACTGTTCCTCACTTCTGTTAACACAAATTTCGCTTATCTTTTAAATTTAGTTAAAAAAAGTCTCTACATTTTTTCTCTCCAGACCCCTGATGCTAACCTTATCACTCACTAACATGTCCTCTACTGTGGAGACTGTTAGTTTGATCATCCCTCAGAAGAGCTCAGTAACACTGAGATTAATAACTGATCATCACGTTGTTTTATCAGTCTACTCAGGCTCTAGGAGGAACCTCAGTGTTTGTAAAGATGCCGTTTGAGTCTGTCTAGCAGGCATGTTTGCTACATGCTGTGTGCTGATTTTAAAGTAGCTCATTTTTGTTATTTATAAAAATGTATTTATTTTTTATTTAGTTGGTAAAAGTAGGCTAATCTTGTAATACCATAAAAAGTAACTGTATTCTGAATATTGCATGTACAAAGTGTAACTTGGGCTGAATGCAGACACTTCTGTATTCTGAATACATATTTCAGATATTTGTGTTGTTACATCCCAACCCTGATGCTGTTTAGCAGACACACTTTGGTCATCCTAAAACTGTCTTTTTGTTATGTAGCCTAAAAGTGAATATCCATGCGTTTCTTAGCATCCAAAAGCTTTTACTGTAGTGCCACAGGGATTGACTTTTAGTGAGTGATTTTGATCACCGTTTATAGCATCTTGATTAGAGTTAAACTCCTACCAGTAGCACCTTCTAGCTTTGATTTTGTTGCATTGTTCAACTGAATTTCACTGACACTACTGAGATGGACTGAATTGACTCTGCTGAAATGTTTAAGATAGCCTGATATATATTTAAAGAGTAGAATGGCTCAGTCTTAATCTAGATTATAGATACTGTGCGGTAATCCCAATACAGTTTTTCTGTCACTTTCTTTGAAACTCTGTCCAACTCGAATTATCACTACAATACATTTTAACACCAGTTAAACACGTTGAACTGATATTGCTTGACTGCATAGATCAGCACCCTTTATATGTATGTTTAAGAAGCAGAATGGCTCAGTCTACCTTAATACACAATCTAGAATAAGACATTTAGATTTTTGTAATCTAGATTAAGACCAAGACTGATATTTATAATCTAGATTGAGTGACAGTACACTCTACAGAAGCATTCACAAACATGTCCACTACTGAGAAGACACTCATAATAACACTCACATTGACATTTTCTTTGTATATAGTACTGTGCAAAAGTCAGAGATCACCCATAATTTATTAAATTTCTAGTCAGAATGGCCATCAAGTACAAGTTGTTCATCTGTTAGGAGAGATTTCCAAGGAAATTAGATATTAAATAATCCACGTAAATAAGGAAGAGGAAAGTCAAATGAAAAATTTCCAAAAAAGTTAAAAAATAATGGAAGACCTGGTAGACCACCAAAACTGTCCCCATCAGATGAAGAGGAGAAAATCAAGCTCCACTCTTGCTTCAGATCTGAATAAATCCATCCTTCCACTGTATGTGTAGCTGTCAAGAAGCTGTTACTGAGAAAAGGAAACAGACAAAAAAGAAAATTTGCAAATCAAACAAAGAAGCTGCTGGTGTTCTCAGAACAATGGACTGACCACCACAGAGTCCAGACCTCAACATCACTGAGTGTGTTGAGCGTTATCTGGATTGTGAGAAGCAGAAAATGCAACCAACTTCTAAGACTGAACTTTGGATCTGTGGATTTCTTTAAAAAACAAAACTCCGAAATGAACAAAAGCCTTAATAAACGCAGAAGGTGGATTTTTCCCTGATGCTGAAAAAGAATGACGTTTTGACTGGAAATAAATGGTGGTCTTTGACTTTTGCACAGTTCAGTATGCTTTATATATATAAAATACTATATGGTGTTTTTTGTCTAGACCATACATTTACATTGATCAAGTAATATCCATACATCAATATAATACAGTAAAAGAATATCTGCCTCTAGTTTATATCTCTGAGGGTGCAAAGTGGAAAATTTTGGTTTGATATCCATGGGTGTTTCCCAAGCGGATATAAGTTAAGCAAACTGTCAGCGCAGCTGACAGGAGCTTCCTGATTTAAGGGCTGGACAGTGACCAGCCAGGGGCCAGGGCCCAGAGATAGACAGATAGAGAGAGAGAAAGGGAGAGAGAGAGTTATTAGGAATGTAACATCCCATAAACCCCTCCTTAGGCTCTTCAGGAAGGTCAAGAAGTTATCATGTTTCAGCCTTTTGTTTTCCTACCAAGTGCTGCAGTCCATCCAGACAGCCAGTGCCCAGTCATTCAATCTGACGGGACGTGTTTCAGTCCAGTCTTTTTTCAACCTTATCTTCATTCAAATCTGGCTAATGCTTTGGCACAAAGTTGCGGATCCGTTTCATGGGCACTGCTTCTTAGATGGAGACATGCTGGTTTCAGTAGCGCTTTCCTGTCCAAGGGCATTCCCCACCAGGCCATGAGTGAGTGGAGTATAGATGAGATCTCACTGTTTTGTTAGGAGAAGCAGGAGTGTAGAAAGAAAAACAAATAAGTCACTGCCTTTTGAGCTTCCTGGTGTGACCCCAAGCACACCCAAGGAAATCCCAATATAGATATGGAAAGGCCTCCATATCGCAGTGCACCGATGGCTACATAAAAACAATAACAATACAATAACAGAATGGAATAATTACCTGAAAACCTTCCCTCATTTGTTACTGCCCCACCTTTTATGACTCTAGACTGGGGGGCCAGCTCCTGACTTGGAGGACCAGAGTCCAGCACGGTTTGGTGATTTCCCTGCTGAATCACACATGATTCAAATCTCCAAACTGTGCTGGACTCCGGCTCCCCCAGGAACAGAATTGGAACCCCATGTTCTAGACTAAAAGAGATTGAATTTAAATGATGAACAGCATCTAAAAATTGTTTTTTGCCATTTGAATTGTACCATAATTACATTACATTACATTATATGAGGAATGTAGCACAACAGCAGTGGATTTTATAGAACATAAGAACATCTTAAGTTAACTCCAACCTTTTTGTAATGAAGCTAAATTAAGATAATTACAAAGGAGTTGTTCTAACATAGCGTCGCTGTCCACAGAAAACCATGCATCTCCGTTTTTGTTGATTTTTATTTTTCAACGTCATTTCAACACACCAGCTGTCTTTTATGTCATGTGAAAATTTCATGATGAATGGACCAATAGAAATGCTCTAAAATCACGTGGAATAAAATCTCTTTACATTAACTTATCTTGAAACGTAAAAGTGTTTTTGCCTTCTCCTGTAAAGTTACTATTTTGGGCTACCGGCCCACCTTCTTAAAAATAGAAGTTTCAGAGAAATCACATTTGGTCCCCTAAAGAATATTTTAATCAGTGGTAATTGTAAGATATTTTAGGTGGGACAATAATGGGGGCCACAGTTTCTGATTGTGCACTAAATTATGCAGAAAAATGTCATATTTAAGTGTGTTCCCTGTGGAGGAGGTGTTAAATTAATTTTATTTCCAAATTAACAATCCATGTCATTTGAGTCTTATTATTTCACCACAACCATTAATCATTACTCGGCATGCTTGGAGGTGGTGAATGACAAAAGAAAGGCACTTAAAGGCCAATCAGATTTTCACCTGGGCCAGTGTTGGTCCTGGATACTCCCCTGCTTTGAATTGTATGATTTCAGTTGAGGTTTTTAAGAACCATACTTTGAAAGGTTCTTTAGAAACCAGAAGTGGTACTTCTATAGCATCACTCCAAAAACGCTTCTTGTTATTAAGAGTGCAGGTTACCTCAAGTTAGCCATTCCCATGCTACTTCGTGGTGGACTGCCTTAATAGTGATAAATGTAGCATATAAAAGTCCACTTGGAAGGTGATTACAGTTTGCACTGAAGATGTTCTTGGGTAAAACAAAACAGGCATGTGAAGCCTCATGATGGCATAACGGCAGATGTGTTAAAGGCAACATTCACCCCATATCTGGGTTGTTACGTCATCTTTTTTATTGTGAAGTTACATGTGGACTGTAGGGCAATGACAGTGTATTAGGTCAAACTGCAGCCTAAAGCTTGGCCTAATTCATTCTTACTGTAAAACAAGACCTGGATCTGTAGTGGAAAAGCCCAAAATGTACCCCCCCCCCCAAAAGTTAGAAATTCCTTTTAATCATGAAATTGTCATATTCAGTAGATATTATGTTCTTATCCCATGCAAAGTAGAAGTAACTAGTAAGTGCTTTTATTGGCTACCTGAGTCTGTGACTCCAAGTTCTGTAAGCTTTCTCAAAGAGTGAGC